TAATACTGGTCAAAACGTTAATGATGATTGCAAATGGTCAATATCACCTAAGGACATAGTCATATCGATAAATGGACGAAGGAGTACAGTTATCGATCTTTATGGCCCAGTGCAGATTTCACGCAGCTCGTATTTATAAGTTTATCCACTTAAATTTACAGGTAATTAATCAATCTTTCAATTACCAGAATACAAAACATTTCATGTAAAAGTAGATTAAAAATTTCCTTGGTATTCCACTTCTCAAATGAGTTGTGGTAGGATACAAGACCTTTTATATTTAATAAACAAGTTTGTTAAAATTGTTAATATTATTATATAAACTGTATGTATCGTGTTGTTTACCATACCGCTTTTAAGTTTTAAGGCATTGATCACCACGAAAGTTTTCAGGAGATCCCCACCAATTTTTCACATCATTACTTACGATTGTTTTAGAGTAAGAGTTTAACGCCTCGTGGTTATCCCTCAAGTAACGACAATGATAGCAGAATCTCGAAACAATTATCTTCTTCTGAATATCGAATTAAATACAGTGTAAAGCGCAAGGTAGTCTTTGGCTTCAAAACATGGGATAACTTTCTTAATACCTCACATTCCTACATTTACGTCAGTCGGATTAAGAGATTTAACTTTAAATCATTACACAATACAGAAATATACATCCGTGTAAAATTGTTTTCGGTTAAAAATAATTTCCATTAAATGCTTTAGATATCATTTCAGGGCATCTTTTAAATTTCAAAAAGCTTATCACTGAAGTGGACTATTTTCTTGAATTCTGAATAGTTGAATAAGGGTGCTGTGACAGTGAGGGGATTTGATCCTAGATTTCGGTCGATTTCATTGTATTATCTGTTGTGATTACATCAGTGTGTGAACCATAGTTCATATCCATAGTTCATATTAAAACACATATCCTATTTCGTTTCGTTTTGCTGTACTTGTCTTCACAACACTAGGATCTGAAAGCGTTGTTATATAACAGGCGTTCTATTTGATGTGATGAATTAGACAATAAAACGGTCTGTTACGGCGAGTTCTTGACGTGCTCTGCACGGAACTGTGGATAAACCCCCTAGAACCGTCAACGCTGATTGATTAATCAAAGTCTGACGTCATAGGGTCAAAAGCCGCTAGTATGACCCATGACGCGACCTACCGGTAGTGTAGGCCATCGAAAGTATAAAAAACGAAAAGAAACTATTGAACTATAGTGTACTTTTTTTGGAAATTGAGAAAATTCCAGAAATACTGGGTACATAAAAAAAAAGAATATATCAGTTCTAATGTACTTAGTAACGAGTGGACACATCCTCTTCATAATTTGTCTAATTTACCCAATTATTTTTCCGAAATATGTAATATTTTGCGAAAGAACTACATACTTTCAGTTTTTATATTTGGCTATAATTCCCAAAATTATACCAGTGTCTGGATAAACATGTATGTATACTTGTTGTCGAATTTATTGTGGTAACTGATTGTCGCGATTATCAAGATACTTATACAATTAAACAGTAAATTCCCTTAAATAACCTTGGTAATAAAATCTAGTGGTCATTTATGAATGGCTCAATGTGTTGACACGGCAATTCGACTTTTTCTTAACATTTTGGCGCTTGGTGTATACACTTAAAGTAGCTAAGTCTGTAACTCAATATCATCCCAAATCTTCGACATTGAAAACACGAATTATATGTCAATTTAAATTAACATTGAAGTTGTGATCGTACCGGGAAAAGATGGGCTTCTGATATCCAATATTTAAGACAAAATAAACATTTTACTATTGGTACACGAATCGTGTACCATAATGCGTTTCGGGCCCATTCTAACAAGGGACTCGAAGAAAGTGGCTAGACATTCAACAAGTCATGTCAAACGGTGACGGCATATTCATATCGGGAGAGTATGCGCAATAAATACTATGTAGACTAGAATAGCAAGACGCTACAGATTTTCATTCCATTGAGACTTCTGACATATTTCGCCGAACATAACTGATTTGAAATTAGAGTAAAAATGGAAACGATTGAATGTAAATCAGTTTATATATATTCCTATTACATTATTATATGCGTTACGACCCATTTGTGTCAATTTCTAGGTCCAAAATATTAGCGATTTAGCTCCTTTAAACCCACCTTTATCGACCGACACCCTGAGAAATCTTGAATTTCCCCATTAAAAGAGAACGCATTGAAGAAGGTAACATTCATTTTTAAGCATGGCTACAGTCTACCAAACTGATAAACATAACAGGCCAATTTATATTGTATAAAAGAGAACCTCTACCATAGTGTGATCAATATATAATATGAAAAACCCCAAACAGTAATGCGTTATGTAAGATTTAGATAAAGACCTGGTCGATCTTGCTATAATGTTCAAAAATAGACAATCAAAATTGAATGTATTGAAAATGTCAGTCAAATTACTATATTCTTGATTGTTTAGTACGATTGCTAAGACAATAAACAAAGTTTCGATAATCCATTTTTACATTAAATTATTAAATGGCGATGGTGTTTTAATCCATTCAAAATCACAGTCATCCGATGAGCTAGGAAGTTGATTATGGGCTTGGTGTGTGATTAAATGCCTAATTAATAATTATATAACATTTGAAGCCAAACAAAAAGGACCTGCAAGCCGAGAATCGCAATCATACCACTTGACATGAACCGCGCTGCCACCCTTTTCACCATGAACATAAAAGGTTATACTGAACATAATGAGCTGTATATATGTATAGAATATATTTTTATTTTAACATGATCTTTAAAAAAAGCTTATATAACTATGCTGGAAAGATAATTATATTTCAACAAAATTAGGCCGAAGATTGGATATGGCCGTCAATGCTTTGCACTGCTTCTTTGAAAACCTCTTACTAACATTAAAATATATATATAGGATGTTAATTATTTTTAAATTAAACAAAAAACACATGAATAGCTGCATTGTTTTGAAGCATAGTTCGCCAGGATACTTTAACGTGCATGTCCTACAAATGTGGTATTTTTTTGAGAAGTTATCTCGACAAATTCCACATTGTTCATTTTCTGTTTTGTTTTTTTAGTTGGTATTAGGCTGGATAACTCTTTCTAGAACACCTAATAACACTTCTCATTTGAGGATTTACAAAGTTAACTAACTTTAGATCACCGGCACTATACCACTCATTTAATCGTTTTCAACAAACGTAAATCAGCAGTAATTCGTCAATTTGTGAAGCAAATCCTTCACTTAGACACACCCCTCTTCTTCATTGTTAGTATTTTACGATAATTAGGAGTTCATTGTATTACTATCGATGTTAAAAGACAGTGAATATATCTAGCGCACAGCAATTTCCGGTAACTCGAGAATGGTAACTATGGAAAATGTTAAATAGGCTATGGTCACTGATCTTCATAGTTAATTTTGACCAAGCCGTCAAGAGAAATCTCCTTTCCGTACTTGATAAGTAGATTAAATGCTCGAAATTATCTGGCTACAATCACCAAGACGTGTTGATATATACAGTGGCTTTTGGAAATCGCAAAAGAAATGTCAATTTTAGAAAATATTCCATAAAATGTGACTTTGTAAATAATGTTTTGAAAAATATACCCATATCTAGAAATTAAAGGAGTTAAATCGCTATTCTTTAGCATCTAGAAATTGACACAAATGGGCAGCAACGCATATAATAATGTAATAATGAATGTATATAAACCGATTTACATTCGATCGTTCCGGTTTTTACTTTAATTTCTAATCAGTTATGTTCGGCGAAATACGCCAAGATTGCAAATTGTATGGCAGTCTTTGGCGTCTGGTTATTTAAGTCTATTTCGGTAGTCTTCCCTTGTGTTATGTTTAGCCCCGTTCTTCTTCTGGCGCTCAAAAGCATTCTGGCACGGGATTCGTGTGCCAAGTTTAAAATCTTCACTGTGCCATACATATTGCACACCAGAAAGCCCACCTTTTCACGGTAAGATAACAACATCAATGTTAATTTAAATTGACCAATAAGTCTTGTTTTCAATGTCAAAGACTGTAGATGATACTGAGTTAAAGACTTAGCTACTTTAAGTCCATATAAAAACGTTTCAAATCCAGTACTTTTTAAATTTTAATTGTTCCAGCATAATATTCTAAGACTTTTTATTAATTGCAAAGACATTTGGTAATATTGGAGTGTTGGGTTTTTATATAATCCTTTGTGAGCTGAAACCCCGAGTTCATTCGTCAACTTTGGCAGAAAAGTAAGTCGTGAGACCCCATTTCATTTCATTCCTATAAACTTTGTATTATACTATTGTGATCCATCACCATACGGTAAGGCTCACATATTCATGATGAACTATTTATATTCTGATCAGTTGAACTATATGGTTGGAGTGAATGATGAATTAAACTGTCAGATTTGTCTAGGGGTAATGACGCAAAGCACGGGTTCGTCATACACCATGTGAAATAATTCACCTTTTATTCATGCTCAATAGTTATTAAATTGCAGTAAATGGCAACGAGCATTTCTTTTGTATTGATATTTATTAGAAACTGTAGACATTTCTTGTGTGTTTTGTATAGTTATTAAATTGCAATAAATCGCAAGATCATTTCTTTTGTATTGATATTTATCAAAAACTGTAGATATTTCTTGTGTGTTTTGAATGTTCAAAACACACAAAAACTTTATATTATATTGGCATCTATGGGCTAACATATATTTCCTAAATTTTATAGAGATGGGGGTTCAGGATGTTCATTGGCTTTCCATAGTTCCAGAGTCACAAACTTCAGATGACGCCGATACAAACAAACACCAAATACAACAGTCGATCAGTTAGTATTGTATCTGGGCGTTGGAGGAGAGTGGGGCTACTACACTTTTGATTTACTGCATTGAAGATAAAAAAAATTGTTAACGCTTATTATTTTGCGTTTTCGGACGAGATAGGAGGGGTCACAATGATAAGGTCTAACAAACATTCTGAATCACTTACCTAGACAGAGATTCCACTGCCAGAGACTTTCGACGATACTCCGATATAACCCTTAAATTTTCCAACAACATGGCCTGGGTTTTATCAGGGTGTTTCATCATGCCAGTTGGCGATTCCTGAACACATCCGGTATCCCGTCAAGAGAGTCGCCTATTCGGCCCCCCTTCGTTACCCAACAGCTTTCCCTCGGCTGCCATGAGACACGCTAAGATTTAACTCTGTCTCCCGTATTTAATATCCCTTCACAGGAAACACACTAGCGCTGATTGTTGTGCTGACGGTGTTTGTCAAGACACGATTTCCACATCATTACCTAGTAAGCTGCCGTCAACGTAATGACACAATAATCAGATTGTCTTCCCTTTTTCCTTTCCTTGTCTATCTATTTGACAGGCCGCATGTTGTTGATCTTGATTTTAACAAAATATGACGACAGAAATTTGGATTACTTTTTGCTGTTAAATTCGTCAAATATACAGAGCGCAGATAAATGTTATTTGAGAAATCTCTTGTAGACGTTAACAATGATTGTGCTCTCAACTAACTTGCTTTAGTTTAAAACCTTTAATTTTAAAAAAAAAAGAGAGAACCTGCAATTTTCTACAAAATTATCAATTGCTGAACTTCAAATTTCGGTCAGTGACCATATTTCATCAATTACTCGCACGCTTTATTTAATCTGTGTGTTTAGTGTTATTCCTTGTCATTTTCCAATATGCGCCGGGAATAGTTTTTTTCTCGATCCTAAATTTAAGTAATCTACATGCATTCAGCGCCTTTCTAAAATACCAGCGATGTAAACAGATAGAGTTTGACAGACGTAAGAAGCAATTAGAACGTACACGAACAGAAATCCAATAAGTTCAATTTCTGGTGAAGGAATTTTCTAGAAATTTCAGAATCTCGAGTGCCTGAATTTAACTTTAAATGTATTATTTTTGTTGATTTTAATAGCTGTACTCGAAATTAAATTGTAAAAGCCGTGGGGATTTGAATCAGAATGTCACAAGATGTCAAAACGTTCGAGCCGAGAGAATAAATATATCACAAACGATCTTTTATCATTTTCATCCAATCCACGAATCGATAGCAGGAGAAATGTTTTAATTTATACAAAATTTATCAGGTTAATAATCTCTATAAACTGTTCCCGATAAAACTGCATGTAACATGTTATCCAATATATTTCCTGCAAGTGGAAATCGGGCCACAGTAATAATGGCACATGTTAATAATATAGACGCTTGTAAAATCTAATAAAAATCCAATATAGATAACCAGGTACGCAATTTTCTCAATTTTTAATCACTTCTTGTAAATTGTCTGCACTTCAAATCAAGGCGGATTAATTAAATCGCACAAAACCAAATAGGAATGAAATATGTTTTTTGCAAGATTTGTATCTATGTCTGTGAACGTAAAAATCTAAAGGAGACACTTATCTTGGCTTTTCTTGTGAAACTGTCTTCGACGACCATCAATTTCGTATTTTATAGCTAAAATGTTACAAAATAACCAACCCGACAATTCTATGCTGTTATCTATTGGGTGGTTAGGTTTCACAATAACGTCACAGTTTTGAAAATCCGTTGATCACATTTGTACTTCAGTGTCAGTTATTAGATGTATCAATGCTTGACAACGTCATTTGTCATTGAGATTTTTAAAGTTAATTCACGACTTTCAAAACAACCTTATTATTCCAAACAGATCGAGAAATCACTGATTTGAATTCGACACTTGGATACCTTCCATAGGAACATCAATTGCCCATTTTCGCTCGTTCAATTATAGGTACAAACAACGGTTCAAAAGTAGATACGAAACAATCTCCTCTTCAAATCGGGATGATGTCCGACAAATCATATATACGTCAGATGTAAAGTCAAAGAATTTCTATAAGTCTTCTAGAGTTCCAATAATCCGATTGTTTCCGAGTATGTTTTGTGATCATAACCTACAGCACGATCTGTGTAGCAGACGACAAGTTAGCGATGAGCCACACCTTTAGTCGAGTCGAGGCTAGCAGACGTGGAACTGAGATTTGCGCGTGTCAATACTTCTACGATGCTCTGTCTCTTATCAATAATTCTGATGCAGAAACCATGCTCTTGTCACTGGCCATAGCTGTACAACACTGTCGTCAATTTCTGGTCATATGAAAGCATGGAAGCGATAATATCTTTGTAGCTTACATAATGAAGTGAGGAGATCTGACGAAGACCTGTATTGTTATTGGCTTTTTATTAACTTTACGGTTGATCAAGACCAGTCCTACTCTCAACTAAAGGTGAGCTATATATTGGCAAAACGAACTGATATCCTTTGGGATTTGTTCTAGGAAATTAACACTTGCTGAGAGTTTATATCATCATAAATCTCACATTCTGTTTATCCATTAATTTGTATACTTTATAACAGTTTCCAATATTACCTTAATTAAATACATATTTTCTCCGTCTATTTTTAAACATTCACTCATTCTTCTGGAATCCTCTTAAGCTTTTTTTGCATTACTTTTAAATTGCTGTTTCCTTCATACCATTGCTAATATTTCCCAATATGATAATCTTGTACAGGTTGAATTAATTTCATTATTATACCAGCATTCCCTAAAATAAACGAATATTGGTAAAAAGAAATAAAATTCCTCTGTTTGAGCTGAAAATAAAAAATAATAAAAAAAATCTAATAATAAAACTAATGGGCATGAGTGTGCTTAGGTGTCTAGGTAAATACTGAAAATCAAATATGATTTTCTAAACAGAGAAAGCGTGGCAAATCCAGATGGACAACTGAGATGAAGCCCGATATGTATTAGAACTTCTATTTACACTTGGGGTGGTCGAATTGTCTAACGCGAGCCATCACCTGTACTTGATAAGAAGTTGTGTCGCCTGTCCAATCTCGACCGCCCCTCTCTCTCTCTCTCTCTCACTCTCTCTCTCTCTCCATGAAAACAAATTTTACTTGGTTTTTGATTTACAATTTTTATTCAGGGGCATAAATATATTTTAGCCTTTAAATCAAAATTGCGGGAAAACGAAATTCAAAATTCGACTCCCCAGTAAGACGAGAAAAAAAATAATTATAATCTTAATAAAAAAAACAAGTTTTTCAGACTGAAAGGCTTAATCCGAATAATAATTCGCCAGAAAAAAAAATTATTATAATCTTAATAAAAAAAAACCAAGTTTTTCAGACTGAGAGGCTTAATCCGAATAATAATACGCAGTGTGAAATACTAATAATAAGTTCTGACAGTTCTCCGTAAGATATAATCAATAAAGTCAATAAGAGGCGGGAACTGTGCAACATACCGCACCACATTATACTACGCCGACGATATTTGAATCAAAAAACGACTAGGCCTACTTGGCAAGGCCTACACTGTGTGTCTTAAGCTCATAACAAATTGTTGAAAACTCATTCTTGGATGAAGTTGAAGTCATCGAACATCATTCTCAAGTTCATAGCAAATCTTCGAAAATTCATTCAAAAAAATAATAATAATAATAGTAACCAATGGTCCAATGATGTGAATGTCATTAGGATGGCAATTCTTCGAACTACAGTAACAATCAATGGGCGCTTGAAATCGCTAAAAAAAAAAAAAAAAAAAAACCCCAAAAAACGAATAACACTGCATTACCTTCCATCCACTTTTTTTTACTTTCACTTCCAACAATCGACGCCTTTCTGCATTTTTGGGAACCTGTGCATTTGAATCCCATGCCCATGTCTAGTGTGGCATTTTACGGCCACACTCTAGTGTGGCATTTTACGCCACACAACAGACCATTTATGTCATTTAAAAACATGTCAAATAGGCTATTATGCGGACGATTCTTTTCAAGTAGGTAACATAATGGCGTCCATATACCAAGTGACTACCATTAGCCAATCACAATAGGGACACGGGTTGGCCAGACTCTCTAAAAATAGGACTCTATAGGTTAAGGTGGTAATTGAAAAATTGAAAAAGCGTTTTGGGGTGTCGGGTACTTAAACGTTGATAACTGAATTAATTTTAAGGGCAAGGTAAAGTGACACCATCTTGTTGCATATTAGTCTCAACATCAACAAGGCTAAAGATATTATATATTTCCCAACACAGAATAGTGGCCCTTGGATACAAACGTCCAAAATAAACTCTATTACTCACAATATACTATTTCACTGTCAATACCCCTTTAATTCGTACATCCGCGTGTTATCACGTAAACGAAAATTTCAGTGTCATCACTTTCTTGCCCGATCGCGGTCACACCTACAGACAAAACGATAAAACTTTGGGGACGGCTATTATCTCTCTATTTATACTCTGATCTATGTAGTACAGTAGTCGAGTCTTACATTTTCGAGTTGCTTTCCTATTTCCTTGTAGTGTGAGATTTCCACGTCCTTGCTACCACGGGGTTGGGATCCGCCATTTTCTTTTTCAATCTTGAAAATAACCTTCATATCTTTAGACGAGTGATGCGAATAATCGTTAAACTGACAACGCTTAGCGGAACATTGTATCGATATGCAAAGGTTTCAATTACATCACCATACATACCATTATGTCGTATTCCCTTAAAGCAGTGGACACATTAGCCGAATCGTTCGGTCGAATCATTCGGCCGAATCAATCGGCGCCGAATTTTATTCGGCCGAATGGGTGGATACACTAGCCGAATGCTTCGCCCGATTCAACCTGCCGATTGCATCACCTTTCACGTCACATGATGCGGACACACCAGGCGAATATAATTCGCCCGAATAAATATTCGGCCGAATATATCAAACCTGTTTGATTCGGGCGAATCATTCGGCCGAATGACAGTGGACACACAAGGCGAATTTCGACGTCGATTGATTCGGCCGAACAATTCGGCCGAATCATTCGGCTAGTGTGTCCACCGCATTAGTAATAACACATTTCGCCGTTGTATAAATGTAAACAATGTTTCGTAGGTAGCTTTCGTGTCCGAATATCTGGTATGTCCTTGACCGTATGCTAATATCAATGAGCAAAGTGTTAATTTTAAATACAATTTTTTATTTTTTTAATTTAAACAAGTGCGGAATACGATTAATTCATATCAAATTACAAATGAGGTGTCATTTACGGGATTTGATGATATTAAAAAAATAAGTTTGCATGAACTCATTGATGCGAGCAACACTTTCTTTGAGCGGTAATTCGACAAGGTAAATAAAAATGCAGTAAATACTTTTAGACTTATACTATCACAATTATCCTTACATCAGGTGGTAAATCGTAATATTATAGACTATTGCGCTTCATTTGCAAAAACTGTCACATCTTTTAATATCAACATTATTCATATGGACCGTTCTGTACATTGATGAAAACAGAACTGTCAAATGTTGGTAAATGTTAGCAAACAGCCTTGTTTCTAAATTTTGGATAGATTATTATTCATTTATGTTAGAATAATAACCATTTTGAGGGTTTGATATAGAATTGTTACC